GGGCGCCCGAGAACGCGCAGCGCATGGAGGAGGCTCGGGACAACGCCTGCAACGACATGGGCAAGATGCTGCAGTTCCTCCTGCCCGTGGCCACCCAGATCCAGCAGGACGTGATCAAGGCCTACGGGTTCAGCAGCGACGGCGAAGGTGGGTTGTTCCCCCGCCGGGCGGGATGCGCCGGGCCCGCCGGGGCAGCGGGGCGTCCCGCCCACCCCATTGCCTTGCAGGCGTCCTCAAGTTCGCCCGGCTGATCAAGTCGTACGAGTCGCAGGACCCGGAGATCGCCAGCATGTCGGGAAAGCTCAAGGCCATGTTCCTGCCGCCCATGACGCTGCCGCCGCACGGGGCCGGCACCGGCGGAGTTGCGGCCTCCTGAGCCCGCGGGGTTCTCCCGGTGCTCCTTCCGAGGTGCAGGTCCTGTCAGCCCCGGGTGCGGGGCACCTGAACAACGGGGACACGGACCTGGAAGGAATGGGATGCTTCGTGCCCGCTCGTGTGTTGCTCGTGAATAAAACCTGTGTTGAAAATGCCCGTGTTTTATGAATGAGCTCAGCAGTGCTGCTCCCTGGTGCAGAGGCAGGTTCAGCGGTGCTCTCTGCATTGCACTTGAAATGCTGTTTTGGGAGTCCACGTTCTGCAGAAAGGTTTGTGCAGAGCCTCGGTGTGAAGCCCTAGGACCTGATATCAGAGAGACAGGTGTTAAGCGCTTTACAAGGGCGAGTGTTTTCAGACGTGCTCTTTGAAGCATGCTAGGAAATGTGTCCCTCAACACGATCTAGCACTGTTCTAGTACAGCAGGTGCTGTAAATGCCATCGAGGCCCCTATCCCCAGCAGGGTCAGTGATAATTTACTTCTGCCTGCAGTGCCTGTGGCTGCCTTGTTTTATGGCTGGGTGTGCAATCCAGCACATTATCCTTAGCGAAAAAGGCAGCACAGAGATGCAGCAGGGAGCGGCTGAGCGTGGGAGGGCTGGGCCTGCCCCATTTGGCTGCAGCCTGGATTAGAACAACATAAACAACATAAAACTTTTATCTCACGTTTTTTTGGACTGCAGAAGGATCAGCCTAGTGGTGCAGCCTTGCTCCTTCACAATGTTTTCTTTCCAGTGTGATTCAGAGGAACACCGGGTATGTCTGCTTGCAGCCTCCTGCCGATTGCCGCTGTCACCCGTGGAAGAATTGAGGTTTTTGGCGGCGGGGTGGGGGGACAAAGGCTGCGAGTGAAGGAGCCTGGGAGGGCAGGGAGCTGCAAGCCAGGTGTGAGGAAGCTGCGTCGGGTTCTGCCTTCTGTGCTCTGAGTTACAAACCGGGCAGGAATGCAGCCAGCGAGGGCGTGAGCTCAGTGGATGGGAAGCAGGAAGAGCAGTCGGTCCCTTCCGTCTCCATCTACCTCTCCGAGCTTGGCCTTGGCCTTCCCCCACCCCTCTGATTATTCATTAGCTACAGTCCAGGAAGTGCTTTGCAAATGGTGAAAATTAAGCCCTCAGCTTGAGGCCTGAAGTTTGCCTGACCTGGAGCTACCTTCTTCTTAGTCCGCCTGGGAGCAGGCGGAGTTCGGGGCTTTGCCTGTGCGGATCGGGCTCAGGTGAGTCACGGGAGGTGCTGCAGCCGCCAGCACTGCCAGCTGCTGCTCCAGCACCGCCATGAGCATCCAGCCCTGCCGGGAGGCTGCCAGGCCACCTCTCCTCTGTCAAGGTCTTTGATCTCTCTCCCAAATCCGTCTCAAGAGCCTTTCTTGGTAATTCCAATATTGCTTTATTTTCTTTAGTAGGACCCCCTTGGTTGAGGGCTGTGGTACTTCCTCCACCAGCTCCTGTCAGTCCTCCATCAGTGGGGATCTGAGAGACAAGACCCTGATGCCATCCCGTGGGTGAGTGCTGTGAATGCTAGATAGGGCAAGAAAACAAGAGTTGTAAAAGTATCAGCAGTAGGAATCAAGCACAGAAGGGAAAAAAGCCCACTTTCCAATAGGAGCTGCCTATAACAGGGAGCCAGAGGGGCCTGCCCTCTGGTAAGGGTAGCCAGAAGACTGGAGCTTTCTGTGCTTTATATTGCTGCTGTTGCTCCTTCTCACTTTGTTCGAGCAAGCAGCGTTTGTGATGTCCAGTCTGCTGCGGTTTCGCTGCCACCCTGCAGCTGCAGCATCTCTGAAGGGTTTTGCAGAGGGAGATGTCAGCTGCCTGGACTTTCAAATCCTGGTTATTCCTTTATTTGCTGCAGTCTTTCTAGCCCTTTAAGGAATGAAGAGTGGGACATACAATCCCCAGAGTCAGTCCAAACAGGCACCCTGCTCTGGAGACTGCCGTGGCAGGGTGTCAGGAAATGGGATTCACACTGGCATTACTCTCTGGTAAGAATTTGGGCAACCACAGTGGTCCAGCACTGTTCTGGAGCCCCATGGCCTGGTGGAGAGCATGTGGCTTTGGCAAGTCACAGGAAGATGGTCCATCTGCCCATTCCCAGGCAGCCTTTGCTCTGCACTGATGTCTGAACTACAACGGAGTTCTGTAGAGAACAGCAACACCTCCTGTCTGAAATCATCTCCGGGCTCAGATTTAGAAGTAACAAATGCAATGCTCATTCTCAAAAAGGGCTCCAAATTAGCTCCCCCCAAACGTGAGGGAAGCATGGAATGATAAAGTCATTATCTGAGCAAGAGGGCACACAGTATAATGGGGAAAGCAATGAATGTGGTATTGAAGAAAGCGCCAGCACCTGCTTTTGTAAAGGCAAACATGGTCCTGTAAAACTGGAGGGTTTTGAGGGACTTAGCAAGCTTGTGGATAAGGCAAGTCTGGCCAGTACAGTTTGATTGGATTTAAAGAATTTGACAAGATTTTCCCATCAAAGCCTTTAAATAAGGCTGAAATCACGGCATTTAAACCAAAAAAACAAACAAATGGGTTTTCTTGAGTAAAGAATTACTAGAGAATAGTAAATGGAAGGTGGGAATTAACATCTCATTTTTACAGCAAAGGGGAGTCATCAGTGGTCAGATCACAGGGGCTTAATCTGAAATACACACTGTTGAGTATTGCCAAGTGACCTGGGAATACAGCTTGGTGAGGTGCAGAAATTGGATGATGGTAGAAAGTTATTCAGGATAATAAGGTGGGAGTTAACGTGTGAATAATTTTGGAAAGACCTAATGGCAGTGAATGAGTGGGCAGTAGAACAGCAGATGAAAAGGCTTATGTAAAACAGTGTTCATACAGAAAAATAATAAAAGAATTGCATATAAAACAATGACTGTGAACGAATTGTAACCTTTCTCGAGCGAGACTTTGATTATAGAAGTCCATGCAATTGTTAGCTGAATGCTTGGTTGTGGTGAAAATCAGAAGTCATCGCTGTCCATGACTCACCAGCATTTTGAGCACCACGGTTCTGTGCCCACCTTCACTATTATCTCCAGATCAAGATGCCAGAATTGGAAATATCTTAGAGGGACAGCAGAGGTGGTCAGAGGCATAGAATAGTTCTGTCCAAAAAGAACCCCTTAGTAGGGCTGGAGTCTTCAGCCTGGCAAAGAGTTGAGGATGGACATGGATGTTTCAGGTCCTTTACCACAAGCAGCTTAGAGCAGGGGGGAAGAAACAGGAATCACCACATGACTTTCCTTTCCTTACAACAACCAAGTGTTAAAAAAGAGGCAGGGAGCAGGTTATAAGTGAGTCAAAGGAGGGAGTGTTTCTGTAACTGACCAAAGAAACTCTTTGCCAAAGGATTCAAAATTTGTTATGTGTTTGGCAGTTGACTACAAGTACTTGATAATGGAGGCTTAGGAAGTACAAGAGCAAAAGAAACTCTGTACATAATCTTTCTTTCTGCTCTCCTTTGACAACCATTTTGACCTCTGGATTGGCTCGTCTCACCCCCTGCTCACAGCAGAGCTCCCCCCAAAACCAGCTCAGGTGGCTCAGGGCCTTGTTCGGGTGAGTCCTGACACCTGCCACTGTGGAGATTCCTTAGCTGCTCTGGGGACCTGTGACAAGTGCTGAACTTCCCTTGCGGGGGAGCGAGCATGTGTGCAGTTTTTCCTGATACCTAATCAGAATTTCCCTTGCTGCAAGTGATGTCTGTTGCCTCTTGTCCTTTTATTGTGTCCCACAAAAAAGTACCTGACTCATTTGTGTCTAAAACCCCACAGCCCCTTTTAGGTAGTCGCAGACAAATGTTAAATCCCTCCTTAAGCATCTTTTCTTAAAGCTGAATAAAAACCCAGCTTGCTCTCTACTATGCTTCAGGCTCTTCATTGCATTAGTGGCATTATGCTGGATCCTTTCCAGTTTCTCAGGGCCTTTTTGTTCTTGCAGCAATCCAGATGTGTGTGTCTTTTAATTAGCTATTTCATTTATCTTGTGCTGTAAATTTGTTACTGCACTAGCTGTGGCCTGGTTCCATGAGGGATTTACAAGATGAGGTTCTAACACCTGTAAAGCCAAACAGTGTAAGAGTAGTCTCTTTGCTGAAATCTCTTGACCTCTTAATTATATTAGAAAAAGTGTTTTAGTGGCTCAATTATAGTCTTATTATATTTAGTGGCTCAGCTGTTCCATGCTGCAGCCATTTGGGAGAGCAACCTCGAAGATACCAACTGATGGCTTCTCTAGGGTGACATTTCCCTCCCTTACTGGTAGTTTTTAATTAGATGGCCCAGATCAAAGACATCAGGGCAGCTGCATGCATCCACTCCTTTCTTAAAATGAAAGCAAGGAGAAGCATAAACTCATCCTGTAAATTATGTGATATGGGATTTGTGTCCACAAAAATAATTTCAAGATATTACACTACACCTTGTGGCTCCTCCTTCTGGATGATACTGAGTTACATGCGATAAGTGCTCTCTTACCCCTTCTTATTCTGGTCTGGGCTCTTGGCTACCTTGTTCTTTCCCTGTTCCCTTGTGTCCAACTAATGCTCAGTTGGATCTCAGACAGATTTTCTCCTTCAGTCAGTGTAGGGCACAGGGGTGCCTAAGCTTTGAGTTTTGTCTGCCATGGCTTCATACTGACTCAGCATACTCTAATATTCTTTTGATATCACTAATTATTTCTTGGGGCTTCTCCATGGAAGTTCCTGCCTTTTCTCCCTTAGCTATAAACAACACTTGTTTCTTGTTCCTGCTAGACCGATTTAGGTCTTTCAGGTGCAACTTCTACAACTTTGTGCAGTTGTTCCCTTGAGTTGGTTCTATGCAGTTGAAATCTCCTTAGTTTTTAATATCAGTTCTAAGTCAGTACCTCTGGCTGCCTGCAGCTCACTGCACCCCAGCTCACCATGTACATGAAACCAGAAGCATTTCTAAGGAAGCTGTTGTAGGTGCCTGGGTTGCCTTTCTAGCAATGAAGTTTAGCTTCCCACTTGTCTTTCCTGTACTTCCCTTTGTTGCTGGTTTCTGTCTTGGCCACGAGTTTTTGTCTAGGTCTAGCTAGCAGCCTGTTCATCTTTTTGCAGGATTTCCCAGTCTGGTGGTGTGTGGGGAAGTCTGCAGCTGCTGCTACTTGAAATGATCAAGGCTCTTGCTGCTGCCCACACCACACAGGGTAGCTGAGATGGTCCCAGGGAAAAATCAGGCTCCTTTGCCAGCTGGATTGCACTCTTAGGCCACTGCTTAGCTCCCGTTCTTTAACCAGACCTGCAGACCTGGAAGCCAGTGTTGTGGGCAGGGCAGTCATGGGCCACAGTTGGAAGCAGCTAGGTGACTGGAATGGTTTTCCTTCTTTTTGTACCTGGCTGTCCAGATTGTCAGCTTTGGCCTCAGTATGGGGTGCTGGGATTTTGAAGGTCCTCAACACTGCTCCCTCAGTGCTGTGTGGGCTCTCTGTAGGTAGCAGCTGTTTGTCCTGGTCTCTGCCTGTCTTCCTGGGCAGCTTCACCACCCTCTTCCAACCTCCCCATCCCTTCTGAGCTACCAATGCCTGTGTGAGTACCATCCCATGGCAGGCTGGCACTGCTGTGCTCAGAGCACTAGCCTGGACCTTGAAGTCTGCAGCTCTGGGTTCACATGGATTCCCCCTTATGCCTGTACAGAGCATGTAGGACATTTGGGACCATTTATGTTGCTCATTGGCCTTTTGGAGAAAAAGGGGAACAGAGGACGTGCAGATCTGAGTTTTGTGAACACAGCCAGAACCCAAGATGTATGCAAAGAGTCAGCCCTGGTGTGCTAACGACAGGGACCCAAAAATAATAAGGGCTATGGGGAGGAAAGACACAAAAGGAGAAGCAGAAGTGTATGCAAAGCAGCTTGGGGCTGCGGAGTGGATGGCTCAGAGCGCTTCCTGTTCCCGGAGCCGCGCGTGCCCCGCTGTGTACGGGCTCCCACCTGCCTGTGCCCGGCAGCAGTGCACAGCGGGCCAGAGACCAAGGAAAAGGTGGATAGAGAAGGTCTGAATGGACTGACAGTAGACTCCAGGAGAGATACATGGCCAGCTCCCAAGAGGCACAGGAGCAGTTTGGCGTTGGGTGCCCCGGCACAGACCTCCGACTTCCCTTTCCTTTCCAGCGCAAACTGATTTTTCCTCTGAGTTTTTTGGGTTGCTTTGGTGGCAGCCACTTGGCCGCCTCTTCTTTCTCCCTCCACAATGGTGAGGTAAGAGGGTCTGAGAGGTCTGTGTGTGTAAGGAATGGGACCAGGGAAGAAGGGTGGATCAGGGCAGGGATGGCCCTGGAAGCCTTCTCTCTGATGGGAACTATCCATAGACTGGGGGAGGCATCAGGCAGGAAGGGATGCTGCTGCTGGCTTTTATTAGGGATGCCAATCAGGGACCATTCTTCACTCTACAAATCTCCACAGTAGTGCCTGGCCTATTTTATTCATTTTGTCTTGCTTTTATTTTCTCTGCTAGGTGGTTTCACCGTGACCTGAGTGGGCTGGAAGCTGAAGCCTTACTGAAGGGACGAGGTGTCCATGGGAGCTTCCTGGCCAGACCCAGTCGGAGGAATCAGGGGGATTTTTCTCTTTCAGTCCGGTAAGTAACTTGAACCCCAGCTTCTTTGCAGTGTTACATACACAGATTGCCTAGATCCTCACATGTCCTGTGGCATCTTCTTCATCCTATCTCTATTCCTTTGAGTTCTTTTCAAGCTGTAAAACAACCTCAGCTTCCCAGCATATTCTAGAGCCTCCCTCAAGCTGCCCAAGGAGCTTCTCTTTCCAGTCATCTCCATGGGCACGGTTTGCTCTGGTTCCATGGTGGGAGGTAGTACAGGACACTTTTCTGCCCCTTTTCCAACCACCTCATTGGACTGCCCTGTGCTTTATTCCCCAGGGTTGGTGATCAGGTAACCCACATCCGCATCCAGAATACTGGGGATTTCTATGACCTGTATGGAGGGGAGAAGTTTGCCACCTTGTCAGAACTGGTGGAGTACTACACACAGCAACAGGGCTCGCTGCAGGACAAAGATGGAACCATCATCGACTTGCGATACCCGCTCAACTGTTCTGACCCCACAACAGAGAGGTACAGGGACGGCGAGGCAGCCGCTGTGTCTGTGATGAGATGTTTCATGGCCTCCTTTCTGTCCTGCCTGCATCCCCAGAGCAAATCCTGCAGAAAGTGCCTCCTTTCTTAACCTCCTATGTGTCCATGGGGGCAGCATCCCCAGGAATAGCTGTGCATACCTTGATCCATCACAGCAGACCTAATAGGGCTCTATTTTTACTTCTGGTTTCCGGTAGCCTCTACTATTTATATGCTGTTTCTGAAAGCAAAGGTTGTGGTGTCCGCTGTGGGTCTGCAGTGGTCTGTGGAGAGACATGTTGTGTGGAAGCCCTCAGTTTTGACCCAGATCTCCTTGGTTATTCTAGGCCTGGGTGACTCACATAGCTGAGAGCAGGACCATGTTCCCCTGCTATTCCTAGTCTGCTTAGTCTCCTTCCTGTCCCCACTTTGCGTGTGTCTCTGACACCAAGTTCCTAAATCAAATCAGGTGGTTTTGCCCTTGTGTTTTGCTTTCAGGCCCTTTGATGCAGCTCGGGGGAGGTGTCATACCCCGCTCTGGGGTGGAGAAGTCCTTTCTGCACAGGTCCTCCTTGGGCACCTGGAGGCAGGGAGCAGAGATTCCCTGATCAGGGAACACCCAGCTTGCTCTGGGGTCAGGCTGCAGAGGGTGCAGGTCTGCTGCTGGCTGTCCTCTCCAGTCAAGGCCATTGCATCGTGGCCCTGCAGTTTCCTCCCTTCCTTCTGCGGTTGGAAACTTACCCCCTCCCCCTTCAGGCTCTTACGAAAGCTCTTCTCACTCTCCCCAAGTGATTTTCCGTCACGTGGCTTTGAAAAGCTGGGCTTTGCTGGGGGAGGGAGGAATGGGACCCATTAACCCCATCCTACCTGTGGAGGAGAGGCTGGGAGACCTCTTTGATGAGCAGGAGGGCCCAACCAATCCCAAGGTGGCATCTTCAGCCATGGTGGCTGAACAATTCTCTGAGAAGAGGTTCAGAAATTAATGACGATCATGCACCGAGAGACACCAGCTGCTTCTTGCAGTGCATGAAGTGAGGGTCAACAAAAGTTGCTTGCTGGCACCAATAACGGTGTGAACCTTTTGCTGTCTGTGGAGCAACTCCTTGCTCTGACCAGATGCAGGGGAGAGTGAATGAATGCCCCAGCTGCCTCCGTGACTGGGCCGTGGCCCCCTGAACTCCATCTCAGTTCTTAGGAACAAATATCCCCCACATATATGAATGTGAAGTTCACCAGTACCATACCAGGCCCTCCCTGTTAGCTGCTCCTTGGGAAGTAAATCTGTTCCCACATCCCCATGGCAAGGCAGGAACACCTTGGTCAGATGGGGATGGTCCTGACCTTCTGCTAGGAGGAGCTGCTGAGTGTTTGCATTGAGGACAGGAATGTGCACATGGATCAGCTCCTGGTGCTCACTCCTGTGGCCAGGGTGATTGCTGCAATGTGCTGTGCCCAGAGGATGGGAATTATCCTTTGAGTGAAGAGATGACTGAGTTTCAGAAAGAGGAGTTGGTGGAATGGTTCTTTAATGGATCTGATCTCAACACAACCATCTGGGTGCTGCTAAATTGGATGGCAGAGTTTCTAACTCAGTGGGGGCTTATTTTTGTTTCCCTGGTGTTTGAGTTTGGAGAGCCCCTTGCAGCAGTAAAGCAACAATCCAAATAATACTGTGAGGTGCTGAAACACACAGACTACCTTCTCCCAACTGGTGTTCCAGGCAGTTTTACCTGTGCCAGACGCAGGTTTACCTGTGCCTATGCATGTGTCACACAATGGATTACACTTGGTGTTTTCCCACTGTGTCCTCTGGTACCAGTCTTCTGCTCCCTAGATCCCTTCTGTCTCCACCTCATCCCTTGCACTTTCCTCTTCTGGCCATCTTTGGTCTCATCTGCTTTTCCCAAGATCCTGCTCCTCCTTCCCTCTCTTATTCCTTCCTCTGTCTCCCCCTTCCTTTCTTCCTCCCTCATCCTTCCCCAGTATTGCTGTTCTTCACTCATCAGCTCAAGGGCATCCACTTTCTGCATCTCCACCTCTTTTTTGATCCTCTCTTGTTTATTCTTAGGTGGTACCATGGTCATCTGTCAGGCCCTGCAGCTGAGTCACTGCTCCAGGCCAAAGCTACTCCTTGGACCTTCTTGGTGCGGGAGAGCCTCAGCAAACCCGGGGACTTTGTCTTGTCTGTCCTCACTGACCAGCCTAAACCTGGGTCTGATGCTCCAGCTGGGGCAACTGGTGCCTCTGGGACCCGTCTCAAAGTCACACACATCAAGATCATGTGTGAGGTGAGCAGAGGGAGGGCAGAAGGAGAGGCAGTGGTCTGATGGATGTTACCAAAATCGCTGTCACAATATCTCCTATTTCTTTCATGTGGGATGAGAAGATTCCAAGGAGAGAATGCAGCTGACCTTTAAATGAGATTGGAGGTCAATACACCTTCTCAGGGCTTTGATCACTGAGAGCACTTACATCGAGAGCGCTGTGCCATGAACTCCACATGCTCATGGCAAACTCTGACTTCCCTGCCAGAGGAAATGCTTTCCTAGATGGTGCAGGGTGGTCCCTATGGATCTGCACCCCAGCATTACCTTTTTCTTGAGTGTCATCAGCTTTGTCTATGGGATAGGTAGAGAGAGTGGGGGCTGTGCAGCCTGGAGAAAGCCCTGGGGAGATGGTACAGCACCTTCCAGTACTTAAAGAAGGCTCCTGAGAAAGCTGGAGAGGGACTATTTACAAGGACATGGAGTGATAGAGCAAGGGGGAATGCTTTGAAACTGAAAGAGGGCAGGTATAGATGGGATATTAGGAAAAAATACTTTATTGTGAGGGTGGTGAGGCACTGGCACAGTTTTCCCAGAGAAACTGTGGATACACCAATCTTGGAAGTGTTTGAGGTGAGGCTGGAGGAGAGGCTTTGTGCAACCCAGTCTAGTGGAAGGTGTCCATGCCCATGGCAGGGAGTTTGGAATTAGCTGCCCTTTATGATACCTTCCAACCCAAACTATTCCATGATTCTGTTATGAATGAGTGAGACGTTACACATTCTTCCTCTGTTTAGAATGGACGATACACAGTTGGAGGTGCTGAAATGTTTGACAGCTTGACAGATCTGGTGGAGCACTTCAAGAAGATTGGAATTGAGGAGATTTCTGGTTCCTTTGTGTACCTGAAGCAGGTAAGTCCAGTTTCCTGGTTTTTAGGGGTCCTTTGTAGGGACTGATTTACTGTTTGTTTCTGCTTTGTGTCCCTTTGCTTCTTTTTTTCCCATGGTGCACAGAGGACACTTTGCTCTCCAGCAGCATCTCTTGCTCTCTTTCACTCTCACCTATTGTGTTTTCCCATCCCCAGCCCTACTATGCTACAAGGGTGAATGCTGCTGACATTGAGAACAGAGTGCAAGAACTGAACAAGAAGACAGGTCTCTCTGAGGAGACATCCAAGGCTGGATTTTGGGAGGAATTTGATGTAAGAAACTGCAGGGGGTCATTATTTGGCTTTTTGGGAATTTTGCATGCACCATCTCATTCTCCATCCTTGATTTCTTCCTGTACACAAAGTTCTTGTGTGTCTTGTCAATTTATTTCTGAAAGAAGTCTGTATTTGGAACCAGTTCCCCTGGGAAGTGAGTCTCACCTTTAACTAAACCCAGTGAGGTAGAAATGTGCTTTTTTATGATTGGGAGAGTGAGTCACCAAGACAGTAAGGGCACAGACTTCAGACTTCTCAAGTCTAGGTTTAGTTTTCACTTCTCTGCTCCCCCACAGCATGCTCACGTGTCATCAGAGCCACCACTGGGCCTCCTAGTGCCCACCTCCCCTGTCATAATTGTGACCTTGCCATGACTGTTCTTTCTTCCGCTCTCAGAGCCTGCAAAAACAGGAAGCTAAGCACCTGTTTGACCGTCATGAGGGCCAGAGACCTGAAAATAAGAGCAAGAACCGATACAAGAACATACTGCCTTGTGAGTCTTGCTTCTCCACTATAAAAGAAACAAATAGACACAGGTAATGAAGAGCTGTTCAAGCCATCCCTGCCTCAGCCCACTCCGTCCTCCAGAGCAGGTTACAAGGTGTTACACTGAGGATTTAAGAGCTGATGAGGGAAGTCACAGCTTTTTCCTGTCCTTGAAGGATGGAGGGAGGGTTGAATTGGACTCATTAGCTTCTGTGGTCCATCACAGAGGCAGAGATGGGAAGACAGAGTGAGATTGGTATGAACCCAGAGAGGGAGAGCTGAGGATACAAGGCATGCACTGGGAATGATGACTGAGGTGGTATGGGGCAGTGAGGGAGCTCTGTGTGGCTGTGCATGGAGTATCTCATTGCACTGTTCATTCTTCCTCTTCACCCCCAGTTGATCACTCCAGAGTCATCCTCCAGGGAAGGGACCCAAATATACCTGGATCTGACTACATCAATGCCAACTATGTCAAGGTGAGATTTTTGAAAGATGGCTGTGTGCCCAAACACAAAGCAGGGGAAGGCCTGCCTGCTCCCGCAGCCCTCCTGACCCTCCTCTGTCCACACTCAGAACACCCTGATCAGCCCAGATGAGTGCACCAAGACCTACATCGCCAGCCAGGGCTGCCTGGATGCCACAGTCAATGACTTGTGGCAAATGGTGTGGCAGGAGAACACGCGCATTATTGTGATGACAACGCGGGAGGTAGAAAAAGGCCGGGTGAGTAGCAGTCTGGAGGTGTCTCTTTTCCCTTTCAACCATTGCTCTGCTTTTTCTCTCTCCTACCTTCTGATCATCCTCACCCTGACCCCTCTGCCCACACAGAACAAATGTGTGCCTTACTGGCCAGAGCTGGGCAGCACGAAGGAGTACGGTCCCTACCTTGTGCAGAACACTGGGGAGCACGATGCACTGGAGTACAAACTCCGGCACCTCTGCGTGTGCCCGAAGGATAACGTGAGTGTGTCTGACCAAGGGCTGCCATCCAACCCCTGGGTCTAGCAGCCACCATACACCTAAACCTGGGAACTGCTGGGTGCTGTGATGATGCTGCTGTTTTATCATTCTTGGGGCTGCTGTTCCCACTTGGTTTGGGCTGGAATCACACTGGTAGAATCACCGAGAAGTGTGCAGAAGACACTCTCTGGCTTCAGACTTCCTCTCCCTGGAAGAGAGGCCAGGGAGAGGGCTGGGTTGCAGTTTTACCAGGGGGGTGTTTTTGCTTTTCTCAGGGCAAGGCTGTTCGTGAGATCTGGCACTACCAGTACCTGAGCTGGCCTGACCATGGTGTACCCAGTGAGCCGGGAGGAGTCCTCAGCTTCCTTGACCAGATAAACCAGAAGCAAGAGAGCATCCCCAACGCAGGGCCTATTGTGGTACACTGCAGGTTAGTACTGAGGCTGGAGTTTGAAGCACCCTCCATCCCTTATCTAGGGTGAGATACAGAAAGTCTGTCCTGCTGCTTCCAGCTGTACCCCAGGACATGTGAGTGAAGCATATACCAGTGCCAATGTTCGCTTTTTCCTCTTCCGCCCCCACACCAAACTCCCTACTGTTGAACCCGTGACTTTTGTGGCATTGCTGAACAGCTGCTACGAGCCACATACTTCCCCAGAAGCAGCTGCATTTTGTTTCAGGAGCTGTATTGCTCTGACCACCTCTTGTTCTCTCCTTGCAGTGCTGGGATTGGCCGCACTGGGACTATCATTGTCATTGATATGATAGTGGAAACAATCTCCACCAAGGGTAAGAGGACCCCAAAGGATCTCAAAATGAACTGGACTACCCAGTAGGGCTTTGCCTTTAAGATCAGCTGCAAAGGGATGAAAACTATCAGATATCAGTGGGAGAAGATCCTGCCATGACCCTAAGAAAGTTTTCTGTTGGATTTCTGTACCATATCCACTCCTTATGGTGTCAGCCTTCCCTGAGCTTTGGCTCCTCCTCCAAGGCCAGACTTGGAAGATACTGAGCAGGGGGGAGAGATAGGACATCCATACAAGAATAAAGAGTATGGAAAGAGGTGGAAACTTCTTGACTGTCCTCCACTGTGGCTGCTTTTGGTAGAGAACTGGGAGAGGGGACAGTGAACATGTCCATAAGCTTTTCTGGTGCTCCTTGCTAGGGCTGGACTGCGACATTGACATCCAGAAGACCATCCAGATGGTGAGGGCCCAGCGATCTGGGATGGTGCAGACAGAGGCCCAGTACAAGTTCATCTACATGGCCATCTGCCAGTTCATAGAAGCAACCAAGAAAAAGCTGGAAGTTATCCAGGTGAGAGAAAAGGGGTTCTACTGCCCTGTGAGCCTAAGTCCTGCATGGTGCTGGCTCTGAGCCCAAGAGCGTTTCACAAGCTTTAAGCTAACACTGAAACTTACACAGACTACAGTGGTGCAGTAAGATCTGTGTCCCTGTTCCTCTCTTTGAGACTTTTAAATTCAGGGGACAAGTTCATTAGCAGCTCAAGTACCAATCCCTTCTGAACTGCTTGACAGCAGTTAAATTTTAATGCAATTACATCAACTATGTTCTGAATAACATCACCAAGTGCTGTTTTGTTACAAATTTAGTTTTATCAAAGACTTTCCCTGCCTCTTCTTCCCTCTTTGTCTTTCACATCCCAGTTTTGCAGCTGCAAGATCTTTTCCTGCTATAAGTGGTGTCTTTTCTCTCCTTGTAGCCTCTGGCAGCATACTGTAACTCCTGCTGTTTTAATATTCTTTAGCTGAAATTTGGCACTTTTAGGTGTTCTAGTGCCTCCAGAGATTTGTTGCCCCACGGTTGCCTCCTATCCAAGGCTGCATTTGCAGCTGCTGCTCACCTCTGGCAGTGTGCTGAGCCCAGGCACTTTAGCAATCCACCAGCTTCCACTGAGCTTCTGGCAAAATGGGGCTTAACAGCCAGAACTCTTCCACAGTGCCTCAAATGCATCTCTCAGACCACACTCTTCTAAGCCTGTTTTTTCCCTCCTGCAGTCTCAGAAAGGCAAGCCAAATGAGTGTGAGTATGGCAACATCGCCTACCCCCCTGCACTGAGGAAAGCACACCCCAAGGTTTCACGAAAACCCTCCAAGTAAGAGCTCACCTAAAGCAGAGGCCCAGCTCTGTCTGCCTCTGGCAAGTCTGCCTGCTGGCTTGGCTGGCTTTTTCATCTTCCTCACTTTTTCCCTGGTCTTACAGGCAGAAAGAGGAGTCAACGGTGTATGAGAACTTGGGGAAAAAGGAGGAGAAGGTGCGGAAACAACACTCCTCAGAGAAGAAGCTGAAAGGCTCACTAAAGAAAAAATAATCATACACTGCAGGTAGCCCTATAGGGCTTTGAACCTGGGCTGCAGGACTGGAGCTCACATCCCAGCTGGCCTGTATCACATTCCTTGCTCTTGGACTGGAATGAAGCCTTCCCCTTCTCTTCCATGCCAGCTTTCAGTGCCGTGAACCAGAACGCTTTCCAGCTCAGCTGACCGACTCCGTGGTCCCTTGCCTGTGCAGGCAAAGTCTCTTGCTGCCCCCTCATCATCCATTAGCAGGAAAAGGTCACGCCCCTCCTTTCCTTGCTCCCTGAGCACCGGGCCCCAAACTCACCTTTGGTGGGCCAGCTTCAGTGGAATTCTCAGGGAAGAGCTAAGGAAGGTCATCCCAGGAGCTACATCTCTGCCCACTGCCGTGAGTTAAGAGTTTAGCTGGTTTGTGTTTCCTGAAGCCTCAGCCCGGGGGTTTTGGCCTGTTTCAGCTCAGCTCCTCTGCAATTCAACAGACTTCCTCTTTCCTTAATACCAACCTTCTGCCCCTCATATCCTTTTGCTATCTCATCCTTCACCTGGATGCTGTAAATATAACACAATTTGATGTGATGGCCATATTTTCTTCTTTGTTTGTAAATAAACTTGTATTTGTTTGACTATCAGGTCCCAAAAGTTTTTTTTTCTCTAATTTCTCTGGAGTATTAGCTGTATTTCTGATTTCACTTGCAGACCTGCAAAGACTTACAAGGATTGCTCCAGCTGAAGTTTTTCTTATGTTGCCTTCAGGCTTCTGAATAGAGGCTGTGACCAATTACAGCAGTTCCTTGCTGTGAGGCTCAAGTGTTGGTGGTCATTAGGGAAGTCTGAGCACAGGAAGTCAGGTGTGACAAACTGACACAGCTTTTGCACCTAAATTTTACTTGCAGGTTTTCAATATGTGAACAGACAAAGCCACAGCTGCTCTGACCTTGTGCTGTGCCACTTCCAGCAGCAGCCTGGTCCAAAGGCCTCCAGAGCCCCCTTCCCACCACAATTTATTCACAATGCATTGGAGGACGGACACTGCTTGCTGTCATTTGATATGGCAAGAAAGTTGTTTGGAAGTGTTTGGAAGACAAAGGACACTTGGTGAGCAGACCCTCTTTCCGTGTGCTGGACTTTAGTTTCCCTTAGCCTGTGAGCCCATAGGCCTGTATGTGCATTCCTCAGCTAGCTTTGCAATCCCATTGCCATTAGAGGAAGAAACAGGAAAGGGGCAGTGGGGGAAATAAGGAGCAGAAGTAAAAATGGGTGGAGTGACATGTGTTTCATGATGCCAAATATCCTCTTTTAAGCAACGGGGAAGGGGCTGAAATCCTAGTCTAAGGAAACACCTACCTTTGCCTTAGACCCCTGGGTAGCTTCAAAGGACGGGATCCAATTGTCTTCCTTGTTAAAAAGCTGCCACAGCCTAAAGCAAGGCATACCAAGGGTTAGCTTAAACTCTGCCTGAAGCTTGAAAATGAAGGCATCTTGTGGAACACGGTTCCTGAGAACCTCATTTGTGTTCAAATGCCTGAGCTTAATGTGTCCATAATGTCTGGTCTACAAAAAACTTAGACTGAAGAAGAACTTTCCTGATTGCTTATCAAGAAATACAGACTGTCAAAAGCAGTCTACTCTTCTTTACATAAGATCCATTACACAGAAATACTTTGGGATGATTATTTGAGAATGCATTTTCAAAGCTGGTTCAAAGAATTTGTGCTATGGCTATTAGTTATGGCTCTGATTGCCAGTAAACTTTAAACCAGGAATGCATAGATTATATCTGTTCCTTTAAACATCTTATGCTCTGCTTCAGCATATGAAGAAGTCCCTAAAGGCCTCTCTTCTTCCCTGGAGAGCCCAAGTTGGAGCTGTTTGTAAAAAGAGATGGTCGGTTGTAAATAGACATGGTCTTGTGTGTGACTGTCTTGACAATCATGATCATGAAATAGCTGAGTTTAAAATTCTGGTGATAGGAGAAAAACTGTAAGTAAAGCTACTTCCCTGGACCTGGGGAGAGCAGACTTTAGGGTAGCAGTCAATAAGGTCACCTGGGAATCTGCTTTAGAGGTAGTGGGGTACATAAAAGCTTTGGAACACGCACAGGAACGGGCAATTACAATGTGTCAGAAGTCTGGCCAGTGAGGCTGAGGGCTGGCTTGGCTGAGGAGGGATCTCCTTCTGCAACTTTGCTGAAAGTGTATGGACTTTGGAAAAACATTATACAGGAGGACAGACAGATATGCTCCTTGCCACTCTAGGGAAAAAATGCCCAAGCTCAAGTTGAAGCTGGTTGGTACTGTGGTGGGTAACGACAGGCATTTTAAAGTATGTTAACAGCAGAAGGAAGAACAAAGGAAACACTGGTCACCTGATGAGGTGGGTCATCCCCTTCCCCCAACAGTGATGAAGCAGAGACATTTAATGCTGCCTTAGCTTCTTCCTCCACTTGTGATGGAGGGTGTCCGGAGCCCTGGGCTGGATAGCCACGGCTGGGGGAGTGATGAACTGACTTTGAACTTGTATGGGATTTGCTGTTGCAGCTGAACACACATAAGTCTACAGGACCCAGTGGGATTCCTCCCAGGGTACTGAAGGGATGGCCAATGTAACTGTGAGACCTCTCTCAGTTATTAATCAACAGCCTTGGGAATCAGTCTAAATTGACATGGAAGCTAGTAAATGTTGTCCCAGTTTTCAAGAAGTGCAGGAAAGAAGATCTTGGTAATTTACAGGTCAATCAGTCTCACTCTGGTGCCTGGTAAAACTGTGGAGAAAGTTAGTCTGGAAGCTATCAAGAAAAAGACTTGAAAGACAATGCAGTTGTTGATCAAGGTGTGCACGAGTTCTTGAAGGGAAAGTCATGCCTTACCAACTTAAAAACCTTCCACAACAAGGTTACCCACCTAGTAGTCAAAGGGAAGGCCAATGTGTTGTTTGTTTTTTTTGTTTTGTTTTGGCAAAGCTTTTGATATTCTCACCATATCCCTCTGGACAGCATTCAGTGTACAGCCAGACATGTACACAATTTCACCCACACAAAACTGAACAAGAACAAATGCCAGATTCTGCACCCAGAATGCTGTAATCCTGGATGTAAATACAGACTGAGGGATGAGACTGGGGTGCAGCCCTGCAGGAAAGGCTCTGGGCATTTTGAGTGATGGCAGGCCCTGACATGTATTATGCTGTACTAGGCACAGAGTAGTTAACTGGCCAGAGAAGTGAGGGTCCCGCTGCACTCATGTCCAGCCTCACCACCACCCTGTGCATTTCATGCTCCACAACACAAGGAGGATATAAAGATGTTATAATGTGTCCAAAGGAGGGCAAAGACAAAACAAAGACAGCAAGGAAACGTGTGACTTACAAGGAGCAGCTGAGGATACAAAGTTAGCTCAGCTTGGAGAAGACCAAGGGCTGACCTAATACCTCCTCATCAAGGGGAGCAGAAGGGGAGTGCTGATCTCTTCTTTGGTGCCCAGCACCAGGACATAGGGAATGGCTTAAAGCTGCATAGGGGGGGAAGTTCAGATACCCTGAATCTGTCTCTCATCAAGACATGTTTAGACAATGCTCTCACTTACAGTTTAACTTCTAGGTTGCCCCAGAATTGATCCTTGTGAGTCCCTTCCAGCTCAGGACATTCCCTGATGCTGGGATGGATAACTTCAAAGTCCTAAATCTTAGTACAGGGCAGCCCAGAGAAACAGCAAAGAAACTACCCCTCAAGAACACAAGATCTTGATGTTGAAACACAAGCAAAGTTTAGTCAGTGGAGGAAGATTTCTCCTCCTCTTTTCAGCCAGAAAAGCAGAGAGGGGGAGAAAGGCTAAGGTGTAACAATGGAGACCAGGACACAGCATAAAGATGCTTCTGTGACCTGGAAAAGCAGGTAAACCTACCCTCACCTGCAGCCCTTACAGGCAGCCAAGGAACCAGCCCTGGTCACCCACACAGCTGTATGAGCATCCAAACATCTTTCTTCTCTCCCCACACTGTGATGATCTGCCAGTGACCACGAGTATATTTCTTTCTTTTATTCCTTTCCCTTCATCATTCTCATTCTAAATTCAGCTAAATAAAATCTCTGCTCCACCTCCCACTACATAAAATAACCTTTTTTTTCCATGCACTAAGCACACTTAGACATGATATAAATTTGGTTGGTTGTTTTTTGTTGTTTTTTTTTTAATTTTTACAAATATTTGAAAGCATCACTGAGCAGACAGTGACACAAGTAAGATATTCCAGCAGTGACAGGCACCCAATGAATGGCATTGTCCTGAATTCAGCCCCAGGTTCTCCTGGGATCAAGAGTGAAAGAGAAACAAAATTTACTACAAAAAAGCGCCTGGTGCTGATGGCAGAAGAGCTCCCTCACTTGGCCAAAAAAGAATTTGATATCCTACACAAATCTAAATATTAATGAAGATTAGAGGCAAATATCCACATGGGTTAATACCAGTAAGCCCCTTTGCCCCCTCTCCAAATTTAAATGGTGGGATGAAGAAGAAATTACAGCTGCCTAGAGGCAGAGCCCATTCCTGTAACTGAATCACCACAGTTGGAGCAGAGGCATGGGGACCAAATCTGGCTACTGGATTAAAAACTTCATAGTGAGGACAAACAATACTAGTGGAGGGAGTTCAAAGATCCTCACTCTTATCTTCTGCTGGTCAGCAATGCTGGTTCTAGGAATCTTCAGCTTCTTTCATTTCTTCCCTTTGAGTAGACTGTCACTGAAAGGGAAACAGAAGGGAGTTACCAATCCAGAAAGTACAAACAAAGCTGTACCAGTCCCTCAATACAGATTCTGAGGTATGGGGTGCCACACCCAAAGGATCTGGACTTCTAAGTCCTTCCTATTAGGCAGGGTTTTTCTCCAAAGCGCCTTAAATCTTCTGGAACAAATATGACAGAATCTGGTCAGAGGTGAGGAAGAAGGGTACTATAATTAAATATCCCACAGAAAAGAAACCAACTCTGGTTTCCCTTCTCAATTCTGAGAAAGCTAAGCTTTTAGCTGCATCCTGTTAGTTCAGTTGGCACTGCCTTTTTCAGTAAACACTGGACAGGTTAGGCAAAGCCACCAAACTTCTGACAGCTCTGAAAGCAGCAAATGGGGTGTTCTCGCATGATCTGGAAACCTTTTGGAGAATAACAAAAGCATCTTCCCTAGAGATCTTCAACCCAAACCAACACAAATTCCCATGATCATCTTCCTGCCTCCTTACAGCCCTGTTTGCCATGACCACAGGATGCCCTGTATATGTGATGGATCAGAGAATGCTCCAGTTACTCCTGCCTTTCCCATGCAAGGCTCCTTGTGAGGTACACATGGAGCTCCAATTACTGCCCCCTTCATGTATATGTTTGTGTGGGCCCTGCAAGGAAAGCTTCAAGTTTCACATCACAAATGGGAATTGAGGTAGAGATTGGAATAAACCTGCTGGGGCCAAAATGGCCCAGGCCAGAAACATCCCAGGGAACACCACCCTGGCTCCAGTACTAACAAAAAGGATCAAAATGTACAGTGCCTTACCTTCCTCTGTGTCAGCAGATGCAGTAAGGAGAGGAGGGCGGGAAACAAAAAAAAAAAAAGAGAGCAAATTGATTAGATTTAACAAAAATTTCCACAGGAGAGGCTTCTCCCTACTTGGCACCAGATTCCCCTCAGAAAAAGATCCTGAGAGAGCTCCAGAAAGGGGAGAAGCTTCCCAGGTAGGGTGCAGACAAACCCAGGCACCCAGCCCCTTTACCTGGTGAAACCCTCATCCTGCAGGTTGAGTACCAAGTTATCGGCTGTGAGATACACACGGTTTTGTGAGGCAGCAATCTGACAAAGAAATGCATTACAGACATGGCATCAAGGACTAAAAATGCACGTGGAGGAACAGCACTAGGAATCTATCTCCCCCTTCAGATACAGCACTCTTCCTTCACTTAAGACCTCAGTTAAATCAATGCAATTCCCCAAAACAACTCTCTCACTTCCCATCCCAGAGCCATCAGACTTTCTAAAAGAAGTGCTCATTCTGTGTCTCTGTCACAAAGACCTTTGACCCCACATTTATCTGTCCCCCTTTCTCAGCTGCAGGTAACTGGAAGCTTTCGGTATCTGCAGCTGAGGGTGGGTGATGGAATCTGATGTGGATCTGGTCTTGTCATATGAAGGGCACGAACTCTGAGCCTCCCATCTAATTGCAGATCCTTGCTAAACTCTTAAGCTCTACTTGAGCAGAGAAGGGCTGGGCAGGAACAAAGATCAGGACAGGGCAGATCACATTCGCCTTAAATTCATCATGTGGCCACTGGGCTGGGGGACAGCACAAGGACTGCAAAAGGACAAAGGGAATTCTGTGCCCCAATGCTCACCGTTTTTGAGATGTTTTGAGCAGCTCGGATCTTACGTAGCTTGATGTAGCCTGGATTCCTGCTGAGAGCTTCCCCAAGGTACAAGGGAACAAAAGTTAAGGAAAATCCCGCCAACAGAAGCCGCTTACCCTCAAGGAATTCTTCCTAAGCCATATTAAAGAACATCTTAGTGAGTAAAAAGCAATCTCTATCCCAGTAACATGGGCCTTTGGGTAGGCATATTTTCACCTGCCCAAATGAAGAACATTCTGGATTACGGTCACACACAGCCAACAAAAGTTAAACTTTACAACAAGGAGCACAGGCCCACGGCCTTCTCTGCTCTGACCTGTAACCTCAGACGAACCTCTCTCCAGCCAACTGGAGAAGGGGAGGGGGAAAAGAACAGTGACCTACTTGAAGCTATCATCCGATCACAGTCTCCTAAGCATGAGCCCAGTGTGACAGATTCTCAGGACTGTCAAGCTCACAAGCCACATCCCACAAAATCTCCCAAAGCAGGATATCATCTTGGCAGCTGTCGCTTCCCCCTCAGCCTGAACTATCTTCTGCTTCTGCTCCTGCTTGGCCTTCTCCACCAGGAACTGGGCACGCTGTGCCTCCTGCTGGGCTGCAAGGAGAAAGGACACAGGCATTGGAACCATGTTGTGTCTTCCATCATAACTTGATAACTGAGGCCTAGGGGCCCTGCTTCCCAAAGAACTGGTAACATTCTGGGACCACATCCAAGTATAAAATGTATCTGAGAGCACTTCACTTTTTCTTGAGTAAAACCCACAGCACCCAGACCTTCCACACATAACCCCCATAGTGAGTGACAGAGTCCCAGTCTGAAGATGAACCTTAGTTTTGGGAACTCAGTCCCTCTGATGGTCTATCCCATTAGCTATGGCTTTCTGGTAACACTTGTAAAATAAATCTGTTCAGCTCTGTTACTAAGAAGGCTTAGAGATTTGTAACCCTGTACCTGTACTGATACAGTGACACAGCAGTGACACACTACCCCAAATTCCACCTCCTTACTTAATAATTCAGTGGAAAGGCAAAGGCAATCCACCCTTTTCAGGCACCAGTGGAACTCACCCACTTGCTTAGCCTCCACAGCAGCTGTATATTCACGACTAAAACTGAGCTCTGTGATAGCCACATCATCCAGGATGAGGCTGAAATCCTTGGCTCTCTCTGTCAGTTCTCGCCTAATGAGCAGAGACACCTGAAACACAAACACAGCAACAAGAGTAGTACTGAGCATAGGTTGTTCCTCACTTCCTGCACGCTCCAGAAGAGAAGCACAACTGCTCTTGTGCAGTTGTGCTGGGAGAGACATCCCCAACCCAAGCTCCAAACCATGGACATCAACACCATCTCTGAATAACATATCCACAGCCACAAAAAGCATTCTCAAAACTCTATTACAGCTCATTTGCAGTTACTACTTAACTGTTCTATGCAAGTAACACTGTGAAAGTGAAAAACCTTGAAAGAATCTTTTGCTTTCACATCCTGCCACATCCAGTTCCATTGTTCCCACAGTTCTGGCAATAAGCATTTCCTTCTCCATCTCGGATTTGCCACTGTTAGAAGGCTGTGCTTTCATAACTGAATTCCAACACAGAAAAAGAAATGACCACGTAATTTTTTTAACCTGTATCACATCTCTTAATTAACAAGCTTCTTGTCTAGTGTAACTACTCCACTTTTTTTGGCTGCTTTGGGTGCGTGTCGCTGCTCGATACTTTGATTTATTCTACATTTACTTGCCAGCACCTTTTTCAGGCAGCCTAACAAGTCCTAAATATCAACTTAAACAGAAACTATTGCTACAGTATCACATGCTCGGTCAGTCAAGCATTTGCTTTTACTTTTACTGCAGCTGTTTCCAAGCAGAACTCTAAATAGTGACAGAAATCTTTCCTGTGTGAACTGTGAGTGCACAACTACATAAAGCCACTTAATTTTTTTCTGACTTTCAATCCCTTCAATTCCACATTGCTTTGTAATAGCAAGCACTGGATGGATACATGACACATGCATGAGACACATGCAATTCAATTTGTTCTAAAGTTTCAGAGATCAAAGAACGACTTTTATCTGAGATCACAGATGCTTAAAAGCCTTTGCTTCCAATGCAGCCAAAACTCTCTCTCTCCTTTGCTGTCCCATCCTCTCCACACCTTCTCTTTCTACATGAAGACTAACAAACCCCTCCAGTGCACTCCATGTGGATGAGCACAAAACCTTGAAACCCCTGACCAGAGGGATACAGATAATTTCTCATAACAAAACCTGGATACTCAGTTCTACTCTTTGGCTCTTTTGACATGGATCAGAGATGTGGTCTCTGATAGCTGAGAGATGCTTTGTATTTAATCTAACAACTTTTCCTCTTGAGCACCCTCCTGGTCCTGCAGGATCTCCTCTAAAACCTGTTAAAGACCAGCACCTCCTCTCTGCATCAGCTGCTGCAGGTGATGAGAACTCTCAGAACCCCTGGCAATCAGGCTATTACAATACAAACTTTCATAAATAGGCATTTTTAAGCTAAATATTTCTAATATTTTGCAACACTCCCCCAGAGAACACTCTAAGCTTTTTCTAACCAGTGCCTGCAGGGAGGGTGCCAAGACAACTGAGCCAAGCTCTTCTCAGTGATGTCCAACAACAGGACATGAGGCAATGGGCAGCAACTGGAATACAGGAAGTTCCACCTCAATATGAGGAATAACTTTTTTACTGTGCAGGTGACAAGAGCACTGTAACAGATTGCCCAGAGACGTTGTCCCTCGCTAGAGACATTCCAGAACCATCTGGATGCAATCCTGTACCACATGCTCTGGGATGACCTTGCTTGAGCAGGGAGGCTGGACCAGATGACCCACTGTGGTCCCTTCCAACCTGGCCCATTCTGTGATGGTAAACAGAAGTTATTTGCTACCTTTCTGTAGCATCCACTGCCGACAGGTTAGTGCTTTGTTAGCTGCTCATTCCCACTGCTTTTCAGTTTTTTCAAAACTGTTTAATTTGCCCTGAGAATCATTCTGAGATCTGTATTTTTAAAGCCACCGATGCCTGTTGGACCATGAAGGAAAGCAGCTCTCCCTCCCCCAGTGCTACATTTTGGTGAATCTTGCACTCTGTGTACTATCAACAGAGCCAGCTTCCTCCTCAGAAGCTGCCAATACAGCATTTGTACCTGTACCAGAACCAAACCGTAGGTGGGACCCGGTTTCCCTGTGGATGCACTATCCACAGCTGGATACAGTTATCCTTCCTGTATCTGCCACCAGGCTCCCCCCACCCGCCGCTCTGCAGCTCCCCTGTGAGCTGAGCCCGGGGAAGGTGTGGCAGGGCTCACCTGGGCTCTCTGCGTGATGAGCTGCGAGGCGTTGAACTTGGCCACCACGCTCTTGAGCACCTCGTTGACGATGGAGGGCAGGACGCGCTCCTCGTAGTCCAGCCCCAGGCGCTGGTACATGCTGGGCAGCTCGGCCGCGTTGGGCCGTGTCAGCACACGCAGGGAGATGTTCACCATCTGCAGGTCTGCGGGGACAGCCAGGGGGTCAGGGGCCTGCGGGGAACATGGAGAGCCCCTCCCCAGTCCCTCTCCATCGGGAACTGCAGGGATGGGACACGGAGCAAGCGGCACCAACCGGGACAGGGACGTTTGGGTTGGAAGTTAGGAAGAAATCCTTTGTGGTCAGTGTTATGAGGCACCGGCTCAGGTTGCCCAAGGAAGCTGTGGCTACCCCAGGCCTGGAGGTGTTCAAGACCAGGTCGGATGGGGCTTTGAGCAACCTGGTCTGGTGAAAGGTGTCACTATCCGAGGCAGGAAATGGCGATCGAACGACCTTTAAGGTCTATTCCAACCCCTTAACATTCCATAATGGTCTGAGGAGCGCCAGAGCTACGGCCGAATTCCTGTCCCGTGCCTCCCACCTCGTGGCCCCTTTCGCTCACCTTTGGAACCAGTGGGGGAGGAGATTTTCCGCGGCCGCGCTCGGATGTCGTAAATGATGGGATACTGGAACCAGGGGATCCTGCGGGGGGCAGAGG